TTAACAGTGTATTTTGTTCACAAAAATGCACCCCACTCCTGCAATAGCCCTGCATAGAGCTGCAGTATTTAAAAATAAAATAAATAAATAAATAAATAGCACTGGCAATATAATTCCTACTAGAAATTACAAATATTCACTCAGACCTCTCATGATCCATTCATTTTCAAAGGCCTGCCAGGTATGGCAAGCTGTTGCAGGCTTTCTTTTGCAACATGAGCTGTTATAGGGTAAATGCAACAGCAGATTTTGGTGGCAATGTCATTTGCTGCCAGAGGTGTCTAGGAAATGTATCAGTTTCTGCTGGATTCACACCCAGATACTCTTCGTGGCAGTTGACTATTTTATCACAGAGCCACATCAGTGCTCGAAACTGCTTTGGAAAAAGACACTGTTGAGGGTTTCCTGTTGATTGAAGATTCACATTAGCAGCTATGCAAATATTGTGTGACACAAGTGGCCCGATTAGTGGAGACACTAAGTGGGCACATTGCAATGTGCTCATAGAAGAGTTTCACATTGACTAAAAATTCACATTAACAGCTATGCAAATATTGTGTAGCACTAAGTGTCTCCACTAGTGGAGACACTTAGTGGGTACTTTGCAATGTGCATGTAAGATCACAAAGCACACCTGACAGTGCGTGTTTCAATGTGCACACTCAACATGTGAGCACAATGAAACACTACACTCAATGCTCTGTACAAAAGTTTACAGTTGGCTTTTGGAATGCCACTCCTTTGGCTTATGCTTCGAGTGTGCTGTGTGTTTTGCGCAGGTTATGCAGGTTACAGTTGAAACAGCACTCCTGAAATCTCGTAGTGCTTGTCTTGTGCCAAGGAAATGCTTACCTTGAGAAAAAAAAAAAACGTTTGAGCGGTCTGCATACCATTACTGCAATTCATACTGCCTTTGAGAATGGCCTCTTGATGTAGTCATTCCCACCTTTTACTTGCTTTACCACCCAACAGCTGACGCTGTGGCACAACAAGCTTTCGCAGAGCACATCCAGGCAAAAACAAAACAAGGGTATTGCCAAGCTTTTTTTTTTTCATAAATCAGACTGAAATGCACTAGTTGCATTTTATTGTATTGTTATGCACTGAAATGTTGTTTTCTGTCATGGATAGTTTACTAGAGACTAAATTTACTGCGGAATCAGGGAGTCGACGAAGCATAAAAAAACATCCTGGAAGAAATCAACAGAGGATCATCTGCCACCATAGTGCTCCATGAAGAAAGCGACAGAATACCAATCAAGAAGGGTGTAAGACGGGGGGATACAATCTCCCCAATGCTATTTACTGCGTGCTTACAGGAGGTTTTCAGAGGCCTAGAATGAGAAGAGTTAGGGATAAAAGGTAAGGGAAAGTACCTTAGTAACCTGCGTTTCGCCGATGACATTGCATTGCTGAGTAACTCGGGTTACGAATCATAACTTATGATTACGGAGTTAGACCTGTAGAAAGTGAAAGTAATGTACAACAACTTTGGAAGAGAAAAGCGCTTCGAGATAGGAAATAATGCACTTGAAGTTGTAAAAGACTACGCCTACTTAGGACAGGTAATAACTGCGGAGCCCAACCACAAGATTGAAGTAACTAGAAGAATAAGAATGGGGTGGAGCACATTCGGCAAGCACTCTCAAATCATGACTGGTAGATTGCTACTATCCCTCAAAGGCAAATTATATAACAGCTGCACCTTGCCAGTAATTACCTACGGAGCAGAAACCTGGAACTTTACAAAAAGGGTTCAGCTTAATTTGAGGATGCAGCGAACAATTGAAAGGAAAATGATAGGTGTAACCTTAAGAGACAAGAAGAGAGCTGAGTGGATCAGGGTTAAGAATATCATAGTTGAAACCAAGAAAAAGAAATGGACATGGGCCAGGCATGTAGCGCATAGGCAGGATAATCTCTGGTCATTAAACGTAACTGACCGGACTCCCAGAGAAGGCAAGCGAGTTAAGGGGAGACAGAAAGTTAGGTGGGCAGATGAGATTGGGAAGTTTGCGGGTATAAAGAGGCAGCCGCAAGCACAGGACCGAGTTTACTGGCAGAACACGGGAGAGGCTTTTGTCCTGCAGTGGACGTAATGAAGCTAATGATGATGAATTTTACTGAGGCCCTCTAAGTCAGTGGGCTTGTGGTTAGGAATGTCCCACCAGTGACGGAAATTATGTCCTACATTTATCCTAATTTCTCATTCACTAAAATGTTGCTGCATATATTAATGACCTTCCAGACATTCTAAAGCATTGGCCTATCACTATATGCGTCTCTCATAATCATATGGTGGTTTTGGGACGTTAAACCCCACATATCAATGGCCTATCACTATGACAGTCATTTGCCTTTGATATCCCTTTAACAAACCAAGTGGAACTACCACCATCTGTGAGTGTTGTGAATTCTGAATATCTATAAAGATTTTAAAAAGAAGGAGTAGAAATCTTACAGACAATAAAGAACATCCTCTGCATAACTAACAAAAAACAGTCAGCATCTATATATTTGTGGTAGTCACAAGTTTGAAAGGGTAAAGAGGTGGTCTAGTCTCTAGCTGCTCATGGTATTATAGTTATGGTCCTTCCTGTCTTTGCCTTGGTCTTTTTTTTTTTTACAGCTAAAGCTGTTATGAGATCACAACACGGGTAACGTGCACCATAGTTGTCTGCCGCCGCCATTGTCTGTAACCACTACTGCACAAAATAAAAAAACTAAATAAATAAAAAAACCAATAACACAGTGGGATTAAATCCCAGGTCCACTGCGTGCCAGCCTAGCATTCTACCATTAAGCTAGAAAGTAACTCCGCTGCAAAGTAACCCAAGGCAAGCTTCTTGTGAAGAAAGCAATCTCGTTAATATGAGTAATAAAGCATTTCAGAGAAGCAAAAGAATGACGAGGTGTCGTACAATGTGAATTGGGTGACAAGTGGGTCATCAAATGCTCCAACCCATTACAAAAGCCTGAGCCTTCATCATTGTCAGCTACAGCACCTAAAAATTGCACAAAATTGATTGCATGTGTGAAACGGCCACCATGCTCCTCCAAACAATGACGGCATGGTGAATGCTTCCCTACTATACAAAAACTACGATGATTTACGGCATAGTGGGTGCTCTTGTCAAGTTGAGTGGTCTTGTAGCAGTTACTCAAATAATTTTTAAAAAAGGCTCTAGAAAGGTCGCTCTTCCAGCTTTTGCAATGACTGTGCTGAGCATTCTGCACAGGCCTGGCGTTCTCTTTCTCTTTTGCTTCAACAGCTCAAAGTCATTAGTGCTCATCATTACAAAAATGAATCAATGCATATAATAAATAGCCCATCGGCATGGCCTGACTGCTGTTTATATGAATACATCATAGAAATGCAAAACAGCACTTACAGCTAGCATTGACAGAACAAGCACGCTTTACTACTTTAACACTTCAAGTCATGAGTCAAGTTGCTGCTTAAGCAGAAGCATGGCTGTGATTTTATTCTATGGAGGAGAATATCAACGCATGTTGACGTGTGTTTGAAGGTGTGCATGTATATATACAGTTAAACCCACTTATAAATTCATTATTATAACTGATAATTGCTACAAATGAGTTGCATGAAAAAAGCACAGTATGGGGACATATAGCTGTTGTAGGAAAACTATAGAGGCTGAGATATGCCAATAGACATCAGTGATATGGATGACAAAGCTGCCAATGTTTTGGATATGCTAAAGGATTCAGACACTTTCACGGGACGACCTCATAGACAATGTCTTAAGTTTCACATGCTGAAACTTATAAATATCACCTTTTTGCTTAAACTGCATCTCCAAAAGTCCATTATCAGAAGCCTCCACTGCTTCCGCATCGTAGCGAATTTCAAAAGTCAGCTTTACTGCAATGCCATAATGATATGCAGAGGAACTTACCGCGAATGCAAGGGCGCAAGAGGGCGTTGGGGTTTTGGGCGGAGGTTTAGCAGCTTCAGCTTCGCGTTTCGTTTCTTTTCAATGATATTGCATTCCATTGCCTTTTAGCACAGATGCCCAATGGGAAGAAATGATCGTTATAATTGATTATGCGGCATGAAGGAATTCTAGTATGAAACTATTTCACCATAAAAAACATATCCAAGTCCTCGGTGCAACTGCTTATCATTGTAGTAACCAATATACTATTATACTGTGCATACTGTTAAAACCAAAGCAGTTGCACCGTTATAAGAGGGTTCGACTGAGTACACATACAAACTAATAATGATAATGTGAGGAGGGGGGTTTAAACCCCTCAACCTTATCTCTGGCTATGCCTAAGTGATTAGGTGTTATAAGACTTGAAGGGGCCCAGCGAGGCTTTTTGAATATGTTCAGAAAATGCTACCGATCAGTTGTCGATCTTCAGTGAACATGTGAGCCAAACATTAAACCCCAGCATGCAGCATAGAATTTAAAATTTAGTTTCAAAGTCAGCTAGTAATTGTTTGCTCTTCTCTTGACAAATGATGCCATAAGCTCATTTTTTACTGCATTTTTTAATGGACACTGTTATAGGCCGATTCAAGGAATGTGAGCTGCCCAGTCGCTGCAACCTGCCAGAGTCTTATCTAGTGCTAGCATTACACACAACAGAGGATTACAGTAGCATGCTTGTGATCACACTGAAAGTCATTCAAAGAAGAGAGATAAGGAAGCACTAATGGTCATGACATGTGCTGGTGAATGGGCATAGCTTCCTGTCCCTTTGACATCCCCCCTGTGTAGCTTTCAGTGCGCTCGCTAAGACAAAAGAAGAAAGAAAGCAGTTAAAGCTTGCGACAAATCCCTGCGACTCTGCTTGCACTCGACAGATTTTAAAAATTATTGCAGCAGTTGATTCTCGATGCAATAAGCTTTGACAGTGAGTTCATTCAACGATTATTTGGAAAAGTGTTACAGGACCCCTTTAATGCCATTTTACTACTACTCCCACTTTAAGAAATGAAATTTTGTCTGTAAAAGAACACAGAGAGGTTAAAGATCACAACTTTGCTTTAATAACTTCATTTGAGAGTCAGAACTTCACTAGATAATTTGTACTAAGAATTGAGCCATGGCAGATAGTAGAAAAAAATGTTTTCAATTCTCATGATTTCTCTATATGCATGTCACAATATATACAATTACAAACAATGATGGTAAAAGCTTCGAGAAGCAAAAAGAGGGCGATGTTGCAGTGCTTGATGCTAATTTGGTCCTCCTGATTCACAGCTGCTGCTTTTGTAAAACTCCAAAACACTGCTGATAACATGTGCAGCTGCTTCCAGAACAACACCAGGTAGTTCAAAATCAAGCACTTGATTCAGGCTTTTTTCTAGGTCATTGAAAGTCATTAAGCCTAAGTGCAACAAAAACTGTGATAGCTGTCCAAACTTGAACATTGTGCTATGGGTATCAATACTCATCAAAGCTAGATTTAAGTTCCTGGCACAGTAGAGTTTCTTGCATGCTTTCTTGACTGCAGGGCTGTTTTCCCACAAAGGCAGAGCAGCTTTAAACACATCACATGTGCACACATCTGGACACCAAACTGCAAGGCATAGCACGAAGTCAAACGATGCTTGCTGCAAGATTGAAGTAGCACTTGGTGACCACTCCATTCGTAGATGCAAAGACTGCACACACGACTCTATCAGCTTAATGGCTTTCTCAGTTGTGCAGCCTTCTCCAGACTGCAGTCGTTGAATGTGGTCCTGAAGACAATCCAATATGGTGGCTGCTGAGGTGACAGAGCAGTGTGACATGCTGCTTTTGTCAATGCAGAAACTCTGTTTCACACTGGCTGTACATGGTATAGCAGACATTCCCTGCTTCAGAGCTTTTTCAGTGACATTTGCCTTTATCCACTGCTCTACTTTAGCAACTGCACTCTTCGTGCTCAGGATGCAGCACATTTTCAGAGCCTGATCATCCATGTCGGGAGGCAAAAGTGCAGGTAATAGCTTTTGGATGCACTCTCTGCATTTCTGAAGGGCTGCCTTTTCAGCTTTTTCTCTCATCTGCTCAAAAAACTCCAAAACATTTTCAGTTTCTTCATCCTTATCATGTGCTTCAAGTTTGAGTTGTATAATGATGCTTTGTGACTGTGCAATGGTATCTTGCAGATTCTTTTTCAAGACTTTTGCAACATTAGAGAAAACTCGGTCAGCAACAAATTCAACAGTTTTTCTCACAGACTGCGGGTGAATATGAAAAAAGTTTTCTACAAGTTGATTTTCAAGTTGTACTTTCAGAAACCCTTCACTAGCAGATATGGGAGCGATCTTGCGAATTTCACAATACTTAGCTTTTCTGTCACCCATATGCTCTAGCAGAGTGCAACGCAGCTCACGAAGGTACGGGCAACACATGTAGATGATGGAGCCATCAATGAAGCTGCCTAGCGATTCAACATGTGTAAGTATGCTATTTGAAGCATTAGCGAAAACATCAGATTGAATAGATTGCACCTCAAATAACCAGCCAAGCAACACTCTAGCAAAAAAAGTAGCACTGCTAGTCTGCAGCAATGCACTTGATTTGTAAATAGAAAAGAGCACCCCAAGTACATCTTTGTAAGCAGTGAGTGTCCTTGCAATAGGATCCATCATGCTAAGGAAGTTGACAACCCAAGTCAATGTTGCAGCAAGCTGCTTATTTCGTACAGACTCCTTTATGAGACCAGTAATGTCCAGAGGCAAAGGCTTATGATTCCTAATAGCCTGTTGTCCATCTTGATATTGCTTTGGTAAGTTTTCAATGGTCGTATAAGGAAGAAACTCAACAACTCCAAGGAAGAGACCTAGTAGCTTGAACTTGTATACTGCTGCAATGAGGGCTCTCCTAATGTCATCATTTGGAACTTGCTCAGCATTCTGAAAAGGACTATCTTTCTCAAACTCCACAATTTTCGCTACACATTGATCTTTGAAGTGCTGTAGAAAAACTGGATTTGCGGCAGCCCTAATAAATTCATAGAAGAAAACTTGGGAGCCGGTAAATGATGGGTTTGGACAGGGTCCTCCAACTTTGAAAGGCAGCAAAAATCTTTCCTCCAACTTCTGCATCTTTCCTGGGGATGTGCTTTTCAAATCATACAGAAACTTATCATCAAGGTTTCCTTGGTCGTCAAATACTAGACCTCCACAGCAGCTGGTCACGAGTTGTCCAAGGACAAGGCGAGCCAAGTGTGACAAGTTGCATGGATTATTGCACATGTCGAGAATCTCTGCTACCCTGCGAGTAAAGTGGGTACTAAAGCTTTTGCCAGAACCAAACTGGTGTCGCTGCCAGTCACGAAAAAGGCTGTAAAAAAGGTCTCTTTGCTTCCTGAATGCCCGAAAGTGGTTGTCCGAAGCAAAATGATTCAGGCTGTCAGTGGAACTGTCAAAAGCAACACCTTGGATTGAGGAAGACCAACCTCTTGAAACTGGCTCCACACCTTTTACAAGCTCCACAAGGCTCGAGTACAACTGTGGTGCAAATGTAGATAGCTGCTCTACATTTGAAAGCAGCTTTAATGTAGGCTTATCCAAAAAGCAAAGCAATTGCAGAATGTGCTCTAACACAGCAGCTGCAAAGTAAGTGCGGTTATGCACAGAATGTAGAAGTTTTGTAGATTTTTCTTCCAAGTTAACTTTTTGCTTCACAGTCAACAACTGCAGCAGGAAGCAAAGCTCAATGGTTAGGTTCACTACAAGGCCTTTGTTTAAGAGTGCGGCATACACAGTAGCCAGAGTGTCAAGCTTTTCTCGTTCAGTAATGCAATTTGTGGTTGGTACAACGTAGTTCTCCACTTGCAATTCTTCTGCTGGGGGCACAGCAGTGCTGACATGGCAAAATTCTGGTGGGGACCGATGCTTTCCACGACGACGCTGCGTAGAACTGCATGTTTGTGGTGGAGAGCTAAGGCGCGACGCATCCGTCTTCTTTAACTGCGATTTTGCGAACTCTTTGTGCGGTAGCCTCGGAAACCGATGGCTTCGCAGACTCTCGTGAGAAACCTCCGGAGGCAAGAAGTCGCTCAGCGTTAGCTTCCTCCAATGCGATTTGACAGGTACTGGCGATATTCTCCTGATCGGCTTTCGGTTTTCGATAACCGCGTTGACAGCTGGAAATATGGTGCAGTCGCTAATGTCGGGCGCATTTTGGAGCTCTGCCGGCTGCGTTAGCTCACCCTTGTAAATTGGTCGTCTGTCAACAATGCACGGCGTAGACAAGCTGGAGTTGGAAATTTCAGTACGAGAAACACTGAATGAGTCGGCTTGGACGGCTGCTGTCGGGAGCGTCGACGCCTTGTTGCAATCACCGGCTACCCTGACAGTGGTCTGTCGACGGCCAACAGCCGCAGGTTGTGATGTCGCGCAAACTGCGCTGTCCTGCTTGGGAGTGCAAACGCTGTCACAGCTTGCGAGTCTCGCGGACGGCGAAATCGGGCGCCGTACCTTTGTGGGCGACGGCGTAGGTTGGATAAAAGGGCACTGGTCACGAATGAAATCAATAAAAAATTCTATAAAGTTCTTCCGTTCTGATTCAAGCGACTGAAGTTCATGAACGGCTGCCTTGTACTTTGAGTCAGTCAGCCACTCTAGTAATTTTTCCGACGACAGCTTTTTCGAAAACAAAAGATCCAATACCTGCGCCATCACGAACCCTTATCCGAAGACTTTGAACCGAAGGCACAGTCGCAACTGCTGTCAATACTGTCTCAGCACACTTCAAGTCTCAAACACATACTTTCAGGCCCAACTGACGTAGAAACTTCGTGTAGTACACTCTACTTGGAGGATTGAGCCGATGATTGAATTCATAACAGTTGGCGCTCGAGAACATCACGTTCGCGAGCCAGTGATGCCAGACGATTACACTTACGTTTGTTAATAGGAGCACTAAACATTTAACCAAATAGCAGCGCCTAATTTTTGTTTTTTTATGCCTGTTGCGTCGCGCCCATTCTAATTACTACTTCCAGTACACTCTACCATTGTTCTACAATTGGCGCTCTATTTTTGCGAGTGACCGTGTGGTGGCGTCAAGTTATTACCCTCTCGCGTGGTCTCTCTTAACCACGACCTACTGTATTGTTTTGACCTGCCCAGCAAGCGAAGCGCCAGCACGCTCTTTCTAGTACTGGCGCCTGCCGCTATGCGCTTTGTGACGCTACAACTTACCCCAACCGCATCGGTTGCTGATGGCCGAAACATAGGCCGCCGCGCTTTTTTTTTTTTCTTTGTCGTTTGCTCGCGCGACACTGGGAGAAAAGCAGCAATGTTTACGCGTGCATACACTCTAGACGATTGAAAAAAAAAATGAATAAAAGCCTCTTTTTGAATACACTTAAAAGTATAATCACGATCTTTTGCCACCATCTCCTCGTGCCGAGCTGCGATAGAAGCGTGCAGGTAGGTGCAGTTTGTACACCAGCGAAGCGAGGTTTCTTGGTGCAAATGAATCATCACAATGGTGGTGTGCTGCGTGCCTTTCTGCGAATCAAGGCAAGGGAAGACTTCTGATGTCACTTTTCATGAGTTTCCAGTGACCGAGGTTGGTGAAAAATGGAACGAGGTGATTTCTAGAAAGGGTAAGTCTGCACAATTAGGCATTATCTGGCATGCTGAAAGTATAATGGGTTGTAAATTACTACGTGTCTTTAAAAGAGTGAGTTGCTGGGCTGGTTGGTGGTGCATGGCAGACTGAGACGCATATTAGCGCAAAAAATAAATAAACCAATAACCTCAAGAAAGTAAATGACGACGCGCTTTACTCACAACTTTTTATTAGCAAAAAAAAAAAGGAAAGATGAGAAGAGTGCACATACGGAAGCCATGTCACTACATGTGGTTATGCAACTAGGTTTTCAAACACACCCATTGGGGGAAAAAGCAGCTTCTTTGAGATTGCTTTGGTAGCTTAATTACATTACCAAAAAGAACAGAGATCGTTGCATAAGTGAATATTTATCCTCTGTCGCTTAATTAGTTCGACCTCGAACTTGAATTTATGTGCTACCGCGTCTGATATAAACGTGTTAGCTTACCCGTCTACGCGCATGCATGACAAAAGGACATATACGTGAAAACTTTTCTCCCAATGAAAAGTTTTGATTAGCGTGTGTCCTTGTCTTCTTTCTTGTGGTCATCCGTTTTATTTAGTGCTAATGTATCTCAGCCAGTTACGTGTGTCACATGGTTAACGAGGTGAAGTCATACGCTCACTTCATATCTGTGTTTTATTCACTTCGCCACCATGGTATAAACTTCTAATTGCGTGATATACTCCTTTGAAAATAACAAAAAAAATTATATTTTATTCGCAACATTTCACTGAATGTTCATCTTCTTCCTTTCAAGGTGCTGGCAATGAAGTTTGGCTCCCAAATGACAGGTCGAAGATGTGCAGTGTGCACTTTGCTCCAACCGACTATAAGCCGGGACTAAAGATAAAAAAACTGAAAGCGGATGCTGTGCCGTCAGTGATTCCACACTACCTAATGTACATGGTGCCGCCCGTGGCAAAAGTCCGCCGCACCTTGAAACGTTCAAATGTTCAGGAACATAGACCCTGCCCAAAGAAAAAAAGTGACTAACAATGTTTAATGCTTGGCGTCTCCCCACGGCTCTTGCATACAAATTGGACCAATGAAAACGAATTTCAAGGAAAGGCGTATAACAGAACGCAATTTTTTAATGCAGGAAGAAAACAGGTTCAGCCCCGGCGCAGCAGAGCTTGACATCGAGCGACGTGTCATCAGTACCATCCGCAAACACAACTGCGGGACCATCCTCAGACTTTATCCACCCTTTACCGAATTTGAACGCACAGAACCACCTGAAACTGCACCTGGCGACAAAGTAAAAAAAAAAAAAAAAGACCGACGCTTTGTGACCACGCAAACAACTATAACCAGCCAGAAGATGCGCTGTGTGATGACTTCTGCAAAACCATCGCGCCGGAAATGCCAAACCATGGCAAGAAATCATGCTGAATTAAAAGCGCAAATAGCCAAGCTGAACCGTGAAGTTGCAGAGGTTAATCTTCTCTCCAAAAGAGCAAACGCTGAAATCTTGCAGGTAAAGTTGTTTGCTGTGGTTGTTTACTGTTGGTGCTGTTTTGTTTCAAAACAGTTGCAGAGTGTTCATTACTAATTATTCATGTACCTGCGATCTACTTTTGCCATTTGATACGCAGGTATTTATGCGCAAAATTGTCTGTATTGGGTTGTTTTCTATGCGCGCTGGATGCCGCGGCCACTGTCAAATGTCATAGTCCTTGCCCTTTCTTGTCCTGACAGCAAATTCCAGCTGAGTATGCGACAAGTCTACCAATGTATACACGCACAGCCGGTATCATGAGTTAAATAAACATTTGGTGGGCCAGCCCTTTTTACAACCCTCTCTGTCATCATTCTTTCTCGTTTTGCACGCTGATACATGTGTTTGTCTCTGATTTGTGGTCCTATTTGAAAAATAATGCACTGAAATGTCAACTAAAATGCAAAAGAGAATTCTCAAAGTCACATTAAATAAAATTATTCAAGATACCCGCCATATTTACTCAATGCGTGATGAAATTCTTCTCGAACCGGTGGTAACCCATGCATTTCCATGCATCCACCAGCGCTCAGCTGGGGTAACTCGAGCTCCCCTAGGCGGTGAAGTTCGGCATCCGAGCCGGCGCAGGCAGCTCCGTAGACCGCTGCCAGCTGGGCAGGTCAGGAGTACAGTAGGTCGTGCTCTTAACTTGGCGCAGCCACTGGCTCTTCCCAATTTTATGCGATTGCTTTCCTTCGTATTCGGTAATATCACGTTCATGCGTTTGCTTTGATAACTTATTACGAAAAAACGCATCGTAAGGTGTCTTATTCTTTGTTTGCAAGCGCTCGAAGGAGTGCTCTGCCGAAAGTTGATCCCGATCAAAATATAAGTGGAATTCACAGGTTGACAGTTTCAAAGCCATATTGACATTTTATTTCACCTTTATTATTTATTACGCGTGAATACTTTTATTGTGATAGAAACAACTCAGAGCAAGGTTCGCGATTACTCTAAGCAGACGACAAAAAAAAAAAAAAAGCGCAGAAAATTGGCATGCGAGCGGCAGTGAGCATCGTCTGCTAGAGAAAAATAGCAGAGCCTCCTAGATTTCTTTTGCCTGTCGGATTATTGGCGGTCACTTGGGAAGCTGCCGTTATCGGAACTGCAGTAGTGGCGCCACTTGAGTAGGGTTGTCTTCAAATAAGTTTTTACGTTTTCTGAGCTTATATGCATCAAAAATAACGTGAACAGTTAAAAAAAGCGTAAACAGAATTATACATAGTGTACACGTGCGTCACGCAGCGCCCCTTTGTCAATTCTGAAATGCGCCACCGACATCCTGGGTACCTACCGACTCCGTCGCCTACCGCTGCTGTGTTGTCTCCTCGTGCTTGCGCCCGTTTAGTTTTGCCTCACGATGCAAGTTTGACGGCTACTAGTGAGGCAAGTTGATTTAGTAGTCTCCGAAGAGGGAGCAGAGCTTCGGGGTGTTTCTTCGCCGAAAGTTAATACCTAAAATTGAGAGCGCACATTGCGATTTTCCGAAAAGTACCAGCGTGTTTGGCTGGCGCGGATTAACAAAAAAAAAAAAAAAAACTACTTGAAAAAACTCGGTAATTGTTTACGTCTTCAGGTGCAACTTCATTTCGGGTAAGTGCCATAGTCAAGCACTCACCTGCAAACAGAGATAGCTTACCAAGATACTGTACATAAAACTTGTCCGCGACCACTGCGTGCACAATCAGCGTGTCAGGGAGGCGGTTAAAATCGTGATGGCGATCGCGTAAATTCAGGTATTGCATTGAACAAACTGTGTAAATGAATGCGAAACCATATTACTTCACTTTGAAGTATAGCCGATCGGTTGAAGTTGGGGGGGGGGGGGTCATAATTTTGAAAAATTGGTCAATTAATTCCCTAACACGGTCTCCATCATTTTCAGGGACTCCACTGTACATTAGCGTACAAAAAAGTAAAATACAAGGTGAAAAATATGTCAAAACATACGCGAAAAAAAAAAGCGATGACCGGCATTACCGCGGCACGCACCACGCGAAGTTTCTATCGGCCTCGCATAATATTTCCCCGGCTGTTTCCACAAATTTCAATCAAAGAGGCTCAACATTAGCACTGTTTAAAATACTTGGAGGGGGGGGGGGGGGGGGGGGGGGCGCTGCTTCTTGGGTGGCGTGGGCCACAGCAATATATTAATATTTTATTCTTGTAAACTTGCCTAGCTCTGCACGACTCATTTCCGATGGGAGCTGCTACGCTTCGCTCATCCACTCTTAAAATTGTGGCTCGAGAGACTTTGGGCTTTCACTTGTTCTTGCGCCATGCAATTTGTAGTGTTTGTAGTGAAAGCGGGATACTGGGCCCTCGTAGGTTTTGGCGGGCAGTCGGTGTACGCGGTGGCTGGTATACGTGTCGCACATCTTGATTTTCTGGTGTTGTATAGAGTGAAAAAACGCGAGGCCTTCCTGATCCGATGAGCTCGTTAAAGTACGACAACAAAAAACTACAATGCTTCCCTTTCAACATCGTACACAGCAACAGATGACGAGCCCCCAACAAACCGCGCTGCAGCACGCGAACTGCCATAGGTACCCAGGGAAGTACCAGGCCATGGCGGGAGAGGGCGACAACGGCGGAAGTGATATCACATGAACACTATGTATAACTAACCCTACGTAAGTGACGTCGCCATAGATGACAAGCGTTTTGCACTCATTCAGCAGCAACCCTTTCGTAACAAGGCATAGCCTCTGAAATTATCAAACGCCAAAATTGCTAATCTGAAA